CTTAATAACTTTGCGAATGTAATCGGAATTCTCGGCAAACACCGAACTCACCTAATTGTTTTTTGCCTCAACTTTTACACCGTCATTATTGCTTTCATCGAGCACCGTTATCAGCAATAACAATATTCAACGAGAACAACGAGAACTTGGTAATAATAGTTTTCGGCAAGCACCGTGCCCGCAATTATAATCCTCATCAATAACTTTCGCTGTAATTGTGGCCTCGGCAATCACACTGACCCATCATCATTGTCATCAGCCACTACTTGGACACATGTTCTCAAAGCTCTTTGCAAGAAACATGACCAGTCATTACGGTTCTCACAATAATTCGGTCGTGAAAGTTTCTATAGGTGCATTTCATTCCATTCAGCTGAATCTACGTGCATTCTGTTCTGATAATGCACAATTCAAATTAGATGAATTAATTAATTGGGTACCCATTGAAAAAGGCAGACTCAAATTAACGTCCTAGCTCATGAAAAACTCATTCCTTGCATAGAAGTGCAAGAAACGCTTAAAATTACTAATGTTACTCCTGTATTGAACCTGCGTTAAATCTGTGGAATAAATCTAATTTTAATTAACGCCACCATCTGACATGCATGCGCAAACCTCTTAACCTAATCTTTGATTTTAACAGCAGAAAAGCGTGTAAATGATAATTTATTATAATTACTGGGCAGATGAGCACTACCATTTGTTATAGAGCAAACTCTTGGAATGTTCCATTATTAATATTTTTTTTAATAATGGAAATAACGGACGCTCCCTTTTATTTACATAAAAGAAACGAACAGGACATGATTTTTTTTCACAATGTAACCATAAACATAGATCTTGTTGAAATCCTGAGGTCTCCCTTGAATCCATATCTGTTACTTTTGTTCTAAAATTTATCAAACTGTTAGGATGATCAATAAATATTATTGAAATATAATAATAAATATTATATTTTACAAACAAAAAATAAAGATATGGATCAAGAGCAATACACTCTCGGGAACGGTGAAGCAACTATTAGGGGACTAATAAAGAATATGAAGTTTATTCACCTATAGCAAAATAGAGTAAATGAATTTGTGAGCAACAGGTGTGAAATGTTACAAAAAATATATATAAATTTCAGTTTCTTTTTCTAATATTTGAACTAAGGGTTTTTGAAATTCTACCTCGTGACTGAAAAATTTGTTTAGAAAACCTAAAATTATCGAAAAATATCTAGAGAATTGGTCTTGACGACACAATGTGTCTGCAATGCGCAAGCGTACAAAAGAACGATCGATGATTACAAAATTTACTGAAGTAAATGACGCAGCTCAAGTTGCTATCTAAATATTACCTAGCCTTTTAAATTTTCCGGTGATACAGGAAAAAATACTTGCAATTAATGAGATCGTAGGCTCTAATATTAAAATATTAAAAATCATAGTTAGGGTCTTAAAATTCTCAGAATTTTATCAAACCTTTTCCCAATCCAACAAATTTTGTCATTTCTATTTACTGGCATGAAATTTTTTAGCCTATGTTGTGTGAGCGGAGCAGTTTGCTCAAATTGAATCACTGTGATTATTCTCACAAACAAGGCCACTCATGAAATTTTGCTTAAAAAACAAAACGAAACATAATTTCGGCCTGTAACCAAACAATTAAATAATGCCTTTAACGCATATGCCTATTTCGTGAATTTATTTTACACGTAAACGTCACAATCATGGTTGAAATATTTTCAAATGCTCGAAAACCATTTTTTTGGGCTAGGAACCACTTTATGTCTTCAAAATTCGCAACCATAGAATTTATAGCCATGCTGGGCGAACAAGAGATGTTTTTTTTTTCACAATGTAACGATAAACAGAGATCTTGTTGAAATCCTGAGGTCTCCTTTGAATCCATACCTGTCACTTTTGCTCTAAAATATATCAATCTGTTAGGTTGATGCCGTTTGCCTCTTCTTCATCACAGCGCTCGTAGGCAGAGCAGCTATTAAGGACCGCGGCCTTGATCTTGACGTGGCTTATTTGATGATCGCTCGGCTTGTGTATACCAACATTCCTCATGATTAGGTCAAGGCAAGAACTGAGCTCTGCTTGACGACCACGTAAACTCTTTACATTAAAGTTAAATTAATAGAAAAGAACCCTAATGCCAGCATTAGGAAAATAGATAGAAAGATTGAAATAGTAAGTGAATTTTTGTGATTTACTAGGACGTCAGAAGCGCCTGATTTCGCAATAAATGAAATCAGCTATCAGTTATACCGTAAAATTCGGCATGTGCATGAAACTGCAAAATTCCGAGCAAATCAGCTACTGTGGGAGGGCAATTGACTGTTTACCTGTTATTAACCTGTAATTTTATATTTCACTTATAAAATTAAATAGATCATACCCTTAGAAATACGTGAATTTTCACACCGAGTGAAATCAGCATTACAAACACTTTAGAAGTTCACTAAAGTTACATATGCCACCGCTTAAAAACTTCAGTGGTGTAATTAATCTAAATAATTCAACGCACAAATACTTTAGGCATGTAGATAATGTACATAAACCAACACGTTAATACTTCAGTGGTGTAATTAATCTAAATAATTCAACGCACAAATACTTTAGGCATGTAGATAATGTACATAAGCCAACGCCTTAATACTTCAGTGGTGTAATTAATCTACATGAGACGAGGCGCATGTATCGAAGTGCATCTATTTTTGCACAGCTATTAATCTACATAAAAAGCAAGCAGCTATTTATCTACATAAAGACCTTTCGAAGAATCTGAAGACTGCTCCATTTGATTGATTCTGATTTGGAATTGCATCAATATTTTGATATTAAAACAAAATTTGCATATTAATATTTCAACAAACCTCAGAATCCAAAATTCCAACCGTGACCAAAAAAAATTTGCATAATAATTTTTCAACGTACCTCAGAATCCTAAATTCCAACCGTGACCAAAAAAATTTGCATATTAATTTTTCAACAAGTCTCAAAATCTTTAATTCCAACCGTGAACATCATTTTGAATTAGCTTGTCTGAAGTAGCCATGGCGAGTTATCGGTGTAGCTGCTGCGGTAAGGTAATGCCTCGATATATTATCACCAATGCTTCAATATTTTGTGACAACATCAGATTCCCGTCAAACGAGTTCATGTTGTGTAAACTTTGCTTCCCCCAAACACCAATTCAAGGACAAATGAGCTGATTTCTGCATACCGGAGCAATGAAATTTCAGACCGGAGTAGAGTTTAGGAATTAAAGGGATCAGAACATATCAATGCATTTGTTTATTTCAAGGAATATACTGGCGGAAAAAAGGTTACGTGTATTGCTTTCATTCAATTGAGTCGGCTTTTTCAGGCATCTTGAAGCTGATCAGGTTAGGGCTCGCCGTCTTTTTACTGAAGCAGTTTTATGGTGAATGTTTCCGCTCATGCATCTTGCGTTCATCAGGTTAATTAAATGTAAACTTTTCTAAACGAAATACTTTATTTTGATTTGAAATGAGTAAAATATCCCTTTAAATTATTAATGGTCCGGGGTTGTACCTTTTCCAGGATAATCTGGACCGCATGTGCAACAAAATAATTATAAATCAAATAAATAATATAATTAATATGAATATTATAAATCAAATTAAAAAAGCGAATCCTTTGTTGCTATAGATAAAGCAGTCTACACTGTTTAGGTTTGTAAACAATTAAGACAGATGCAAAAGAAGTGTACAACTTAAACTTTACTACTTGCTTGTTCAACAAATCCCAGGGCGCAAAGAAGTGAAAATACTGTAACTAATATAGTATAATATGTGCGTCAACAATTGCTTATAAAAATTAATACTTTTATGAGAGATAAGCTAAATTCGCAACCAGGTTAAAATATTGGATTTTATTAGCCTTAAAGTATCCTGTTTTCTCTGAAACTTCGCTTTCGTGCACACAGCTCAATTACTTTCTTCTGAACTTCACGAATTAATCGCACCGCATAGACAAGAAATAACTTGTACATATAGAACATCTAATCAGTTAAATCTTCAAATGTTTACTCTATCTTGCCCCTGTTGACTATAACAAATATCCACAAGCTACCCAGAGGAAGATTGCATTAGTGAAAGCCGCGAGTGCGTCAAGAAATATTTTACGTTCATTAAACCTTTACCTTCAAATTATATAAATGTTTAGATAATCGTGTTCCTATAAATTAATAATAATTAGTGTTTAGATAATATATGTTCCATATTAATTAGTGTTCCCTATATTAATTTAAATTAATAATTCCCTATAATCTTGTTCCACAATAAATTTCCACTGGCTACCCACGAAGGGACTTCATCGATGCGGGCCACGAGTGTGTCAAAAAACTCCTTTCATCCATAGAATATTTAATCCTTTAAAACATTCAACTATTTACATAATCCTGTCACATATTAAGCCTAACAAATTTTCACAGGTTACCCTGGCGGTGATTTCATCGGTGAGGGCCACGAGTGACTCAAGAAATTAATTTCATCCATAGAATATTTAATCCTTTAAAACATTCAACTATTTACATAATCCTGTCACATATTAAGCTCAACAAATTCAGGATATCCTGGCCGGGATTTCATCGATGCGGGCCACGAGTGACTCAAGAAATTTATTTCATCCATAGAATATTTAGTCCCTTAAAATATCCAACTGTTTACATTATCCTGCCACATATCAAGCCCAACATATTTTCACAGGCTACCCTGGCGGTGATTTCATCGGTGAGAGCCACGAGTGCGTCAAGAAATTAATTTCATCCATAGAATATTTAATCCTTTAACATTCAACTCTTTCCATAATAATGTCACATATTAAGCCCAACATATTTTCACAGGCTACCCTGGCGGTGATTTCATCGGTGAGAGCCACGAGTGCGTCAAGAAATTAATTTCATCCATAGAATATTTAATCCTTTAACATTCAACTCTTTCCATAATAATGTCACATATTAAGCCCAACAAATTTTCACAGGCTACCCTGGCGGTGATTTCATCGGTGAGAGCCGCGAGTGCGTCAACTGTGGCGCGGTGCAGACGCCGCTGTGGCGTAGGGACCCTACAGGACATTACCTCTGCAATGCCTGCGGCCTCTACACCAAAATTAACGGCATGAACAGGCCCCTGATGAAGCATCCCTCGCGCAGAATACACGTTAGTTTTACGTCTACGATCAATTAGATAGCCGAGCTGTTGAAAAGATATTTTAACTGTTATTAATCATGAGAAAGACCGCGTGATCATCGGTCAATGATTTTTTTTAGAAATAATCGATGAATATTCAAATATTCTTTGCTATAGATGGCCGCTACGATATACATTGTTTTCCATATTATAGAATATGCTAAAAAAATTCCTTCATAAGCAATTATGATTCATGAAAACAATTCAACAAATTTAATCCTATTTCAATCGATTCAATGATTAATAAATTATTAACATAGACTCATGCTATGTTTGATAGTTGCCAATTTTACAAGAGAATTGAACAATATTCTTATTAATTTGAATAATTTTAATTCATTTATTATTCTGCTCCTTTTTCCCTGATGTATTCCTTCCATAAATTTAATCATCACCCTTGAATCATTAATTTAAAAAAATTGCACAATATTTAAAAAATATGAAGATTATTTTAAGAAAGCAACAGTGTTCAATTTTTTTTTAAATTAGAGAAATATTTTAAGTTTTTTTTTGCATTATTATTAGATTAAAAATATTTTTCTAAGTTCTAACTAATCTGACAAAAGTGACCACCATATTGGCAGGAGAACTACGCGTTCCAGGCCTCGACACGTCGCCTGGGTCTGATGTGCTCCAACTGTGGCACCACCACGACCACCCTCTGGCGGAGGAATAACGATGGTGAGACTTATTCATGCTTACATAGAGTGTCATGTTTTTCTTATTACTATTCAGTACACGAAATTATAGTTTAATATCCTGTATGACACGGTATTCTTTTAAATATTTACCATGTGTTTATCACATCGTCAGTCAGACGATGATTTTGAAACTGCGTTGATCGAAAAAGCTTGTAATTAATGCTTATGTGAAGTTTTTTTTTAGTTCAAATTTTTAAGGATTTTTGGATTTTTTCTCGTTGTATTATCAATGGTTAATGGAGATTATTAAATTTTATTTTCTTATATGTTTCTCGTGAAATTCTAATGTCACTTGATATTTTTTATTTAATTTATCCTCTTTTCAAATCATTCCCTTTAGAAAGGAAATTTATTCCATCAATTCCTATTATGAATTTATTAGTTTCATTCAATGCAATCAAGTATTCGGAAGGGAGTGAAAGTAGCTCCTTCATTTGACCCCTTTGAGCTTTAAAATTGGACACTTTTCCGCATGAAAAAAAAATTACACTTTAGAATCACACATATTGTCTTCAAAAAAAATAGAAAATTTACTGCAGAAATACTGTTGAGAAACTTAATAAGCAAGTATTAAGAGTACATCAGTACACAAAATTTTATCTTTAAATGCCCCTTCGTATCTCCCGAAACTTGGAGAAATTTTGAATTCAATGCTTCAAATTCGTCATATATTTAGAATATAATGTACTCATGAACAATATTGTTTGCAGGAGAGCCGGTGTGCAACGCTTGCGGTCTTTACTTCAAACTCCACGGAGTATGCCGCCCTCTTCAGATGCGCAAAGACTCTATTCAGAGTCGCAAACGCAAGCCCAAGAACAAGAAAAGTGAGGACGGATCGGACGACAAAGAAAAGGACAAGAAAGTCACTGGTAAATAAAAGGTCGATGACGTACTGAGAAAAAAGCAAGTTCGTTGTTTACGCTTCGCTTCGCTCAGTTCGTTACACTTAAATTTCTGTGGGTTTGACTTGAATGGTGTTCACCGTAACCAGCGAATATCTTCTCTTTAACGCTAACCAATAACGAAAAACTAATGATTGTTCTATAAATATCAGCCACTTCCTCGACAAATTTGTTAAAACTGGCATAACTCTATCAGTTCGTTGGTCAATGTAGCCAAATTATTTTGCCGAACATTTATACCAGAGAGAATCAGTCTAACAGCACTCAGTCTCTCTCCGTTTTCTGAAAAACTTCCCAAATTCTCCACTTTTAATTTAAAAGATAGACGGCGTTAAACGCGTTATATTCATAAGCAATTTGGTATAGCCATAAATTATTGTTACATGCCGTCTTCTTGGGCGATCGAAAGAACTACAAATATTTCGGGTGTTTAAAAACTCACATATACAATTTTAAAGATTTTTTGTCTTCTACAAATAATACAATTATATCTTCGATCAGCCAATGCAGCATTCACCTGAAAATTAACAAATGACTCAAGTTAATTTGAAACACTAGCAAGCCATTAACAGCGTTTGCGCTAACATTACTGACCAAAACGTTTTTAGAAAGTGAAATTCATTCGACCATAGGGAATAATAATAAAATATTAATATCAATCCGCATAGGCTAAAACCTAAACCTGACTAATGACTTCATCAAAGTTCCGTTCCAGTATCGTTGAAATAAAAAAGCAATAAAATATAAATAAAAATTAATGCCCATTTAGGATAATAAATCTTTGCCTCTTTAAAATAACGTTAACCTGCACATTCCATGGAATTTCTATACTGCGGGGGTCTTTCCAAATGGCTAGCAATTGTATCTCTAGACCTGTAAGTGATAGATGTAGATGGTAACGTGCAATAATCACTCAAAAGTTTTCAATGATATCTTCCTGTTGCTGGGCAATAACCCTACACAGCCATTTCAATAAAAAATCTATTTATACTCTTTGAATAACTATTAATTGTTATATTATTAAATATTTTTCATAATTCAAAAGATTATCAATGTCATGTTGTGAATAACAATTCACTGAATTAAAAAATTATATTTTTTTAACTTGAGTTGAGTTAGTTAAAGTTTGTGATGAAATATGAAGAAAAAGATAATAAATTCCCTCCAAAAATGAATCAAGCCATTTTATAGATAATTATTATTTATTTTTATCACATATATGATTAATAAATGAGATGGATATGCGCATTGAGAAAGTGGTCATAGTTTAACAACATTCATGGTAATTTGTTTTTTCCAGGTGACGTTATTTATTATTTAATTCTAAAATCTTGCTCTCTTCAACAGATGAGAAACCACCGAAAGAATCCAATGAACGTCGACCAGACTCTCGCTCGAGTTCAAAGAACATGCAAACAGCTCCGCAAGCTCAACCATCTCATTCATCAAGTCATTCACCTCAGCTTCACCAGCTGCAGCAGGTCCCATCTTTATCTCCTCACGAGCAACAGCAACAACACCACCATCATCACTTGCACCAGCTTCTTCCTCAACATCACCACCAACAGCACCAGCAGCAGACATTGTCTCAACATCCATTGCCACACCAGAGCCCAGTGCCATCAAGCAGCTCCAATAATGGTGTACTTGTTCCTAACTGCGGTGCACCATCCAACAACTCCATGCCGTCTGGGTCATCTTCCGGCTTGTCTGAAATGAAAGTGAAGCAAGAGCCCGTAATGGGAGGACATTCCAATGCATTTGGAACTCTCTGCAGCTCATCTCCAACACTCATGACTCCTCCCATGACTCCGGGGATTTTGAATGGTCCAAGTTCAGGAGCGTCTCACTCAATGATGAGTGGATATAACCTTCCTCAACCCAACCCATGCTCCTACTCTAAACATCTCCTAAGCTAGTGCGCTTTAGCTCGTGAAATTCCCACTCGTTTTGTGATACTTCAGACGACATTCTTCGTTCTCTTGTAAAGCTGTTATTGTTAAAAATGATCCTCGTGTGAGGCTTCCCTGTCTTGTTTTATTCAGGCACATGCGGCAGGGAACACAGAATGTAGTATTTTAATGTCTATACAATGTCTCTAATTTTAACATTTGAAGGCAAGTCTTAGGGCGTTTTTGCAAATACTTTTTGCTCTTCAGTCGGTTTTTTAATCATATTTTACAAGATGCAATAGGATTTTCGAACGATCTTTACAACAAAATGTTAGTTTCTTTATTTCAACGTCAATAAATGGGAGCTATATTAGAATTTTAAATTATATTTGAATAAGTATAAGCACAAAGTTTCATCTTCGTAAAAAATATATATACATGCACGTAAACCAAGGGCTTTTAAACGCGAATACTCTATTTAAGGTAATTTTGATATTACTACGTTTGATTTCCTAAGAAATTTTACATTTTTTATTTATTAGTTGGATACAAATCGAGACAATTAATGATAGCAATCGTTTCTGAGCAATCAAATTAAGGCGTAAGTAAACCCTCTGCGAATTCTCGTGTTCAAAACAACTAAGAATTACTAAGAATGTTACTAAGAATATTTTACTGGGTTTGACGTCTGAACTCAATACAGTACATCATTAGAATTCTCTGTCTTTAGTTCCGTCAGTATTAGAAATCTCTGTCGTCAGGTCCGTCCTTGAAACACCTAGCCTGCTAGTGGGGACTCTAAAACATCACGAAAATCAACTTATAGTGTTGCTAGATTCATGTTAAATCATATATTTTAGAAATAGAGATCCATTAACTCTTTGGCTCATGGTTAAAATTTGTGAATGAACTCTGAAATATATTGAAACTGGAGTTAATCTAACCATGAGTAATAATTATTTCATCAACAACAGTTCATTAATTTGCACCCTCACGGTTATTTCAAATTCATGAAGCATAACTTGCAACCCAAATTTTCCCCTTTGTAAGTGTGATCAGACGGAGCGCCATAGTATATTTTGGTATTAGTTCTATGTTTGAATGCGTGATTTTAGAATCAACTGGAAATTATTTAATTTCAGTGACCACCATCGCTTCACACGATACTCCGTAGCTTGTACAGATATGATAAACTACTAAAATGTGTTATATTTATAACTGATAATTTTTGTGGTAGTTGATCTTGTTCGTTTGTTGTGTGAAATGAATACGGACGGGTGAAGTTACTCAGTAATTCTTAGTCCCACACATTCCGCTGCTATAGACGAGACTGAAGTTTATTTTTTTCCGCAATTTATCAAAACTGGGATCATACCGAATTTTTCTTCGTTAGACAGAATTCAATAACTAAGGCGATTCAGGGAGAATTACAAGCAATGTTTAATAACCCTCGGTTCTCAATTTTAAATGGAAATAAATATGGTTATGCTTCTCGGCGTAAGCAACGTACGAAATTGAGCCTACAGAAATGCAACTGTCACCGGTGTCTTTCTAAAAATATTTAACCACTCAGTAAGAAACTTTCAACATTCATTGAAAACAAATTTAAAAATATCAATGTTAAATACGGAGCTGGACGCGACTATTCACTGCAACGTTGTTTGTAAATATTTGTACAGATTTTTGTTAGGATATATTTAACTAGATCTCTTGATGTATCCAGAGTGTAATTAGCAATAATATTCTGTATAAGCTCGTTCATTTGTTGTTGTTGTCAATGTTGAACTGTTTGCTGCAGCTGCCGAGAGAAGAAAAATAAAACTTGTTTTTTCTTTTCACGGACAGGAAAAACTGCAATGAAAGTTTGGCTTTCCCTTTTGGTGCTAAGTAAGAATGCTCCATTTAGATAAATTAATGAGCTTTTGTCCAAAAAGTGATGCATATTTTACCCTTACGTGGGTCCTCCTATCTCAGTTTGGCCCAACAAATGAGCACATCAGTTCGACGTCAGCCCTCAGCTTATGCTGAGAGTAAGAACGTGTTTCACTATTTGAACAACATGACCCACGAATTTTTCTGAGTGTTGCGTGTAGCTTATGAATGAGACTTACTTGTGAAATGAACTCGTACTTTGCTGAAAATAATTGAGTTGATCGTCGTCCCTCGTTTGACGTAATTAAAGGATGTATGGCGGGATTATCGGTGATCCCAATCATTATTATTAATTATTAATAAATTATACTATTGTTCGTGATTCATGAGGTGACCAAAATAATAGCTTATGGGCGAAAAATGTATAATAATATTGTGAGGGAAACCGTTGAAAAAAGTGAATAGCTGACGGTTCAGACTGGTATTGTCCCCTTCAAGTATTCACATCGCGAATAAAATGTTTTACTTCCTTCACAGATAATAAAATGATTTTTCATTTTAACACAAGTTTTCACTATATGGTGTATCGTGAATCCGATGGGCCGCTATATATAACATACATTATAATTTCAGGGTTTATAAATAAAAAATTGAACATCTTTCAATCAAAATTGAACGTGTATGTGAAGGTTGCATGCAATGCTTAATTATTGAATTATTATTGTATAATTGTATTGGTCACCTTATGAATCATTGTGTATCATAATGTGTAGATAGATGTTATTTCTGAACATATGTTGTAGTAGTAGATTCCAGGGTAGGCAATGTACGTAAACATCTCATGCGTGTCATTGTATTGCATCGTACAATACAATGTTAGTTAATTCAGCATGTATGTGTACCGAACATGTGAAGTTATATTCATTCCAATGCTTGGAAAATGATTTATGTGGTAAAACAACCGACTCTCTAACCTTTGTAAAACAATCGAGCTCTCTATTGTAGTATGAAACTATTTTCAGTGTTAAATTGCTGAGATTTACTCGTATCGCATTATTATTGTTCTCACTTGTTTCAACTGTTAGACGCAATGAGTTTCACGCGCAAGTGTCTGGGTAATATTATTTATTTATAATACGGAGCAAATGAGATATTTTTATATTTTCATGAAAAATTTATTTCGAGTGTTATAGTAACTTTTTGATTTGGTAGTCTCCTTGAAGTAATCCATCGATTCGATATAACATCCATCTTTAAAACTCATGAGTCAACAACGTTCAATTTAAGAACTTAGTAAAAGTTTCCATTTGGCACGAATTCATCTATCGTTCACAATTTATCAACTATTGCGTTATTGTTTCGTAAAGTTCAATTAATCTCTGCGAAACATGTTTCCAATGAACTAATTACATGAATTTCTTGATTATGTATTGGTTTTGCGAAAATCAGTCATTCGGGATCTGAATGAATTATTTATATAGATAAAGGTCCCATGACTCACCTTCAGCTTGGAAGTTTTCCTTAACGCAACAAAATTCAAATCGAGGCAAAATTTTGTGTACAAGTCCGTTGTCTACGGCAATAAAGTTTACTATGCTTGTGGAACAAATAATTGGTGCTATTTCTGAGACGCACTTCTGAAAATTTCCGACCATTGTTGTGTTATTTGTTTGTAAATGAATTGATAGAACTTAGCATCTATAGACGTTTCAGGAATTAAATATGACGTTATTTCGGACATCATTTCTCCATAAATTAAAATGTTTTAATACATGCTGTTGACCTAGGACTAGAATTGCAAGAGTGATAATAATTTGTTTGCACCTTGAAGGAAGTTTCGGTTCAAAAATGTCTCATATGAAGAAAGATTAAAAATTAATAAGACTATTTTCCTTTTATAACATACATAATTCGTCTCATACTCAGAAAATGAAAAATAACCGTGAGATTACGCTGAATATCATTATATTGATTTTGGAAAGGCTGAATAAAAGGCCTGTGCGGTCGTCGTTGTGGTAAAATAAGTTAAACCTTGGTGAACTTTAATTCAGCAAAATCAATGTCCTTCTGACTCTAGAAAACATTATAAATTTAAATAAGAGGAATTATGGTAAATGAAATGCATAAAAGCTGTGAAAACAATAAATCTCAATTAATTCTGCGCATTTCATTGAAACTGGCCTAGAATTACCAGCTCAGTAATTCTATAAATTTCTTTTAGAACTAATCGTGTGACTTGGGGTCGCATATATTGCACCTCGTAGTATATGTTTATTTTTTTGCTAGAATGCTGGAATTATTTGGGCAGTTTTTTGCGCATTCGATGTTTTCAACATTGACTTTGTTGGATATATTGTGTTAGCAGTTTCGTGTTAGCTAAAGCTAACACGAAAATTTTGTGTTAGCTGTTTTGCAACAAAGTGTGATCACTCGCAGGAAAAACCACGCAGAATTAGAGAGGTAGAAACAGCAATTAAAGTTGTTATTACATAGTAATTATTAATAAAATGTAATGGAAATTGTAAAGTGCAATAAATATCGAAGTCGGTGCGTATGGTTATTATTATCCGCTATGCATTTGTAGCGGCATTTGCATTACGGGGCTTATATATTTATCTCTGGGTTTATCAGTTATCTCTGGTGTTTATCTATGATTTTAGGCACATACTTAATTTCTTGCACATATTCAATATAAAGTCACGTGACAAAATTTAAGTCGCATGATTTCCAAGCACATGGTAAAGCTTTTTAAACAATTTTATTCATGTTCAAAGTGGTTTTCAGTTCGTTGACATCATTTAGAGACGAATTGCAATGTAAATCGACGTCGTTCCTCAAAATCTGCGGTTTTTGTCATTCAAGATAATACAGCCATTTCTATGTGCATTTATTTGAATGCCCAATGAAAAATTTCTCGTAATAATATTATTTGCTTGATTCAATCACAATGCACGAGCCTTCTTGAAATTTGGCTTCATAGAAGCAATCAAATTCGCATCTCGCCAGCTCATTCCCTGAATAAAAAGCCTTAAAAAATTAACAGCTAATTTTGGCAATTTTGATTAATAATTGAGAAGCACCTCATTCACGTTAAGAGTTAAGCACGTTACATAAATAAATACATATTTGAATATGTATTTAACCGTGAACTTATCAGAAAAATTATTCAAAATTATTCAAACAACGTCCGAATTTACGAAAATGATTAATATGATCAATATTTTTGAACACGAACATGATCATTTGCATATTTAATAATGTATCATTATTTTTTTATGTTTGCGGGCGATACGAATGAATTTCTTTCGCTCATTCTGGGTCAGTCATGATTCATTCTAATATTCTTAGTTATCGCTGGAGACGTTTTCTACATCGACTGAGATTTTCCAAGGAAGAAAACGAACGGAAACTTCCAATCGATAGCAGACTAAGATATTTAGGCCTGGCATATCCTGTCCCGCATTTATAAATGGATTGAGCAATAATTCATTTTACATTCAAGTATTCTATGCAATAAATTCATTGCAAATGAATGACGGTTGTTTATAAACAATATCCTGAGATGTTACGATAGATAAATAATTTGTTGAAATGTTTGCGCGGGGAATTTAAAGACGGCAAACAATTTTCTTTTTATATCTCTTCAAGAATAATTACGCAAGATCCTATGTGCTGTAACATCTGGATTTTTATGTTATTCCAGGATAAAAAATTTGAGAAAGTTCCTTTAAAAATGTGTTCACTCAAGAACCAAGAAATTTTTGTAATTATCAATCCTTGGTAATTAAGCTGAACCTAAAGCACTTTAAATGTTGTCTTTCGGTAATCCCTATGTGAAACAACAAAACATAGTCTCACCACTGACAGCAAAAGGCCATGTTGTAGTAGTTCTGGTCTTTTAAAAATGTTTTAGGGTTTTCAGCGCCTCGTAATGTCAACACTGGATTCCCAGCTGATGCTGGACGGTCGTGATGTCTGGCGGGTTGTTGCCACTTTAGCCTGAAGTAACTATTTCATATTAGCCTTCTGAAGTCGTAAACATCGCACATTAACGTGTCCCTACGAGGCTGTGGTAAGAAGAGGTGTGTACAAAATTTGAATTATTGTAGCTTCATGACTTGCATAATTTTTCATTTTGGTCACTATACGGTTATTGCCTACCTTGACATTCATAATTCTGCGAGGATTATTCATAGTACCACTTCTCTTTCGAAGATTGTTCAATAAGCTTTCGCCTGATGACTACATGTATATGGCTGCATATTCTTTATTCGGTACATAAACCTCATTAGTTACTATGCGTATTCTCGTTCGCCAGGTGTGCGGGAGACAGAAAATTAACCAGATTTGGTATATGCCAGCTGCATTTTGTATTTTAATCCTGAATCTTCGGCAAGTTTCCCGTCTGGGTCACAGATTGGGAACTGCCCCGAACTTTCCGTCACAAGTTATTGAAACATGATTGTGTGCGGGGATCTCTGTACACTGATTGTAATCGGAGCGTCTCGGCTACGCGAAGCCGCTGGATGCTCTATGAAATTAACGAAATATTGTGTGGTGATTAATATTTAAACTACAAAAAAACACGAATGACGAAGCCAGTATTGCCGATTCTACAATTGTCCTTTTTTATTCTCAGCTCAATCTTATATTTCACCGTCATTCTTAATGAATTAAAATATCGAATGTGATCTTCGTCCATATATTGTATATATTACCTGTTGATTTAAATAAAACTCTTGCTAAAATCATAACTGTCATTTCTCCGATAACCGTAGCGACTCGTAGCCCGGTGACGATGAGCTAGACCCTGAGTCTCATCATAACCAAGTTTATTGTGAGCTGCACGCACGCTCTCCCACAAAAAAAAATGGTCAGCTCACGATAAGTTAACGTATACGAGAGGTGCAGCCTCCTGGACCGGCAAGATATAATGTGTCTTAGTAAAGCTACCAGTGATAGAAAACATAGATGCGCTCTAGAACCCAAAGCCTTGTATAAAAACACTAGACTTCTTCAGTAACATGGCGCTCTCATGAGAAAACTGTGTCATTTTTATGGATGCTTTGTGCACCAATGCTGTTTATTTTGATGCTCCAATGCTATTGTTATTTATTATTAATGCTTAATTCTATCTATTTACTTCGCCGATGATCGCGATTATGTTGTTATAGCAATTTTCGAGAAATTAATGTTCTGTGATCAATTATATAAAACAAATTATATTCCTGAGTATGTTCGGTAGGCATTAAAACTGCTATTTAGCCAAGAAAATACTAAATTTCATTAACCCGCTACTAAAATTAAGAATTCGCTCTTCCCGAAGGCATTAGATAGCAACTGTTAGCAAGCCTTTGCCCATTGCGACACCCTGACTCGTATTTTTGGCATCATCCTCTGGCATGGATGAGAAGAAGTCTAGCAAGTCAAATTCTAATTATGTAATCCATAGAACTCGTTATTCTGTGTAATGATTTTCAAGTAATCTTCAAAACATATTATATTTTAAGCATGAATTTAGGACGGCACTTATTTTTCTAGAGCTTAAGATTTTCAGTTCTAAGCCAAGCAGGTGACAATTTTTTCGGTTTTCCAAAAAAAACCTTACCGTCGCAGAGCATTTAAAATTTGTATTGCAACCCATGATAACTTGCACCTGTCGGCTGCCGCAGCCGTTCTGCCCGTAGCGCTGCTAGCCGCTTGCACCATAAGCTTAGAAAGCTGTCAGGAGAAAAACGAATTATGGAGCTTTAAAGGCACGGCTTCGTTTTAACCTGCAAATAACAATTTGGTGTCTGGTGGAAAGATGCGAAGTGCATGGAGTAGATGACTCGACTAAGAGCGCTGTCTCGCCAGCAACTCCCTAGAGCCTCTTACTTGGCCTCAGCTAAAACACCTCTCGCGTTCTGCGATTTCGAGCAACCCTTATAATATAGTGAACAAAATACTGCGCTAGATTCTGCCTGGCTCCACACCGAATTTCTGGAGCTTCCGAGGCGACCTTTACTAGCCCAAATGGATGTATGAAAAATAAATTGACAATTTGTAGCTACTCAATGTGTTGTCTATGAGAACTGTTATGTGTGTATAATAATAAGTTGACGATTAATCATGAATTCATTGAATTGATGTCACTGATTTTTTGTCATTGACCGTTCTCTTTTTGGGCGGCGAAGCGAAAGGACATTTCAAGTTCATGTTGCACTGTGGGGGGACGGTAATAATAGAAGGTAAAATTTCGGTTTCGATACAATTACGAAATATTTGGAATGAATAGCTTATCCAATGCGCCTGTATTGCATACACTTTTTTCGAACAAATTGAGCTCAAGTTTCTATTTCTGATTCATTAAATTAAATTTAAAATAACCTTCTTGATACGTAGTGCCCGGATAGCTTATAGCATCTGCCCGATTTCGTAGAAAATTAGATCAAAAGATATCAAAATTGTAATTAAGCATTTATAATTGTTGAATAGGGAATATTTTTTTACATGGAAGAAATATAAACTTGGATTGTGAAGAGTCAGTAAAGTATACTTTCAACAGTCGGACCTAACGTAACCTCGCTAGGATATTTCTTGTGTGTTTTTTGTTTATTATCTTAATTTTGATTCCAAATTCTTTCTTGCCCAGAAAAGGAACAGGTTATTTTTTGTGAAAAACGAACGGCTCAAGAAAATTATTATTTAAGCTTATCTTTTTATATTTTTGAATCAGTTTCATTAACTGATTTCAGGTTATATGAGTTTTTATGGATGATCATAGGTCTCATTTATTTGATCATACTTATGTCGTGCCGAAATCACGGAATTACCGATTCTAAGGAATCGGCAGCCAGTTTGCCGAATCTTCAGAATTTGCATTTCGTTACTGATTCAGAAAATCGGACATTAGAGTTAGAGTTAGAACATAAATTGACAGTTAAGGTTGGATAAGGTTAGGTCAAGTTCGGTCAAGTTCCTTTATATGTAGATATTAAAAAAAATAACTTGGCTGACTCTACCTAACCCCAGATTCCTATAATATGGAAATGCTGATTATGCAGATTCGGCAAAGTGGCTGCCGATTCCATATAATTGACAATTCCGTGATATCGGCGCGACACATATATATCTATTTAGCAATGTCAATTTCTAATATAGATTTTACACATGAAATCACTTTTTTCGACTCCATTGGACCCAAAATGACTGGTTACGCACATATTCCAAAAGAGCAAAATTGTGGTCCACAGAGAAAAGAGTGTCTTTCGCCAACCTTCATCTTGAATCTCTTTGGACGGCAGCTTGAGTTTGTGTCAGGCTGTCCCGACCGACAGTCTCGTCTTGCTCATAACTCTCCTCAAAAGACAAAATGAACGTTATAAATCTAGCTGCCTACGCTAAATGGAAGACAAATTAAAAACCTGACAGGACTGTACGGTCGAGCAATAACTGTAGACAGACTGCCAGCGTATGATGTAAAATCTCTTCTTAGCCGTCCTTAGTATGCAGTCGACGCGGAGCCAGAGTCCTGATATTCCTCCGTATATACTCGGCCCTACTTCCCA